TCTGTCTGGAGAGCACATGCACCCTATAGTAAAAACCTCTCCAAAAAAAGAAAAAAGGGTTCAGACCAAGAAATCTCAAAAAAGATTAGATTAAATAAAGTTGAATAGCATTCATTAATAAAATACTTCCCAGAGTTTTCAATAGGCTGATGTACACTATAAAAAGCTTGACTTTTGAGCACACAATATAACATGATTAAAGATCTTTTTTCCTAAGTGGGATCTTACAGGACCAGGGTTAAGAAAAGACAGCATGGGGACCAGCAGTTAGTGCAATGGCTATGTCGCTGGACTCCCATGTAGTCAACTGTGGTTCACGTCCCGGACCTGGTGGCTTAAACTCACTCCAGGTGCATGTGCGTGCATGCCCAAGATCCCGAGAGGAGAAAGGAGAAGGGATTGCGGTGTGGTCATCCTCCCTGGGGAGTGATTTCTCGCTTTCTGTCTGTCTGTCTGTCTGGCGAGCGCACACGCCCTATAGCAAAAATCTCTTCAAAAAAAATAAAAAAATAAAAATAAAGACAGCATGGGACCAGCGGTCGGTGTAATGGCTATGTTGCTGAACTCCCATGTAGTCAACTGTGGTTTGAGTTCCGGACCCGGTGGCTTAAACTCATGCCGGGTGCATATGCGCATGTGCCCAAGATCCCGAGAGAATGGAGGAGAAGGGATTGCGGCATGGCCATCCCCTCTGGGGGATGATTTCTTGCTTTCTATCTCTCTGGCGAGCACACATGCCATGTAGCAAAAAACTCTCAAAAAAAACAAAACAAAGAGCAACAAAAAATGATAAGACAGCATGGTAGGGGCCAGCAGGTTACAGTGTGATGGTTAAGACACTGACACTCCCATATGGCCGACCATGGTTTGAGTCCCAGACCTGGTGGCTTGCTTTCTCACTTTCCTTCTCTTTCTCTCTGTGTCTCTCTCTAGTCAAATTAAAATAAATTAATGAATAAATAAAAATTAAATAGATAATTCTTAAGAAAAAAAAAAAGACAGCATGGGAACTACTGACATAAAAGGCAAATTACTGGCAAGGCAATTTGCATAAGGAAAGAAATCAGTAAAGAAAACTCAGAGGCCAGCACGTAGCATGGTGGTTAAAGGTATTGGACTCCCAAATGGCCTATCGCAGTTTGAGAGCTGGATCTGGCAGCTTTGCTTTCTTACTCTCCCCCCACCTTTCTCTGGTCAAATTAAATAATAATGATAAATAAAGTCAAATAAAATAATTCCTTAAAAGGGGGGGGGGGCTCACAACTGGGAGTCATTTCTTCAGTGTATTACCTCCTCCTCTTCCTGTGCTTCTACTGCTGGTCCATTATGTGCCTCCTGGAAAAGAAGTTTCTTCATCTTTCGATACTGCAGATTGTCCAGTTCTCTTACTGCATCCTTTGTCCTTTGAATGAGATCTATTAACACTGTTTCAGGACGTTCCCGAAGAACAAACATGTGCTGGACAGGGTAGAAAGTAAAAGTCAGATTAAAACATTTTTCCCCCACTTAGTGCAAATGTGTCCATTATCACATCTGAGAGTTACTATCCTCTAATCATATTCTCTATCTATTTATTACACATCTGAGGTTTTTTTTTTTCTTTTTTTTTTTTTTGGCGCATCCCGTGCACTTGGGATGTGTGGGGGGTGGTGGGATGGAAGAGTGAGAAAGTACTCATGGACCATGGTCATTATGCAATCCCGTCTCCTCCATTTCTCCCTTCTGTTGGGATTTTGAGCATGCACACACACACATCTGGCATGTTTTTCTAAAATACTTTTTTTTAAAAATAATTATTTTATTTAACTTTCTCTCTTTCTTTATTTAAATTTGACCAGAGAGGGACAGAGTGAGAGAAGGAAAGGGAAAGTGAGAAAGTGAGTTGCCAGGTCTAGGACTTGAACTATGGTCAGCCATCTGGGATGTCCAGTGCCCTTAACCACCACACCACATGCAAGCCCCCCATCTGGCATGTTTTTCAAACCATAGGTCTGGGACTCAAATCACGTGGATGGCAATATGAGATCTAGCCGCCTTAACCAACAGGCTACATGCTGGCCCCTGACTTCTTAAATTTATAAAGCTATCCCTTACATAAGATCTATTATGTTCCTATATAACTACCCTAATAAACATTTTATAGAAACTTTGAACATCATACTTGAGTTGGTCAAATAAAAATACAGAGTTGAAATAGCCAAAGGAAGGGCCAGCAGGTTGCATGTTAGTTAGGACACTGGACTTCCACATGTCTGACCGCGGTTCAAGTACTAGACCTAATGGCTTGCCTTTTCGCTCTCTCTAGTGATTGTGCATGCCCTATAACAAATAATAATAACAAATAAATAAATAATTATCTTCCTTTTTGGAGAGATTTTTGCTACAGGGCGTGTATGCTCGCCAGTAAGATCAAGAGGAAGAAAGCGAGAAATCACTCCCCAGGGGGAATGGCCACACCATAATCACTTCTTTATTCTCCTCTCATGATTTTGGGCACACACACACACGTACATGCACCCAGCAAGTTTCAAGCCACCTGATCTGGGACTTGAACCATGATCGGCCATGGGGAAATCCAGTGCTTTAACTACACCACCACCTGCTGGCTCCTAAATAATTATTAAAAAAATATATAATAAAGGGTCTAAATCTAAGCACTAAGAAATTGAATCCAATTGGAGTTATCAATAAAGATTTATATATTCTTTTTTTAAAAATATGGCTGTAAAGTTATATAAACATTGCCATATAATACAATTATTTATTTAATTTATTAATTCATTTATTTTAATTTGACCAGAAAGAGACAGAGAGAGAGAAAGAGTAAGAAAGCAAGCTGCCAGGTCCGGGACTCAAACCATGGTCAGCCATGTGAGAGTGTCTAGTACCTTAACCACCATGCCACCTGCTGGTCCCAAGATTTATATATTCTAAAAAACGAATGATTTTAAGCAAAAGGTATGTCCAATTTTGAGTTACATCATATTTCATCAGGAATGTATTACTAAAAGTGAACTATGTAGCATTAATTAGATATTACAGGTTCCTTCATAAACAATAGTCTTCATAAAACACTAATAGTGAATTAAGTGATTACATCATTAGTAATTTTTATCACTAACACTTAACAAATGTTAACTTTATCAAATACAGAAAAGCATAAAGAAAAATTCCACAAGATTACCACTGTTATATTTTGGTATATTTCTCTTCAGAAACTTTCTGTGTATATGATTTGTTTTATAGATACAAAATTAGCATATACATTACAGAAGACATCTGTTCTTTCAGTGTGCATTCTTATCATACTTGTTACCTTGTTAACTCAAATTTCTTTCTTCACTATGCAAAAAACTGTATCTTTTCTTTTTTTTTTTGAGAGGTTTTTCGCTATAGGGCACGTGCGCTCGCCAGACAGACAAAGACATAGAGACAGAAAGCGAGAAATCACCCCCCAGGGGGATCTCTTCTCCTCCATTCTCCTCTCGGGATCTTGGGCACGCACGCACACGCACCCGGCGTGAGTTTTAAGCCACCGGGTCCGGGACACGAACCGCAGTCGACTACATGGGAGTCCAGTGACATAGCCATTACGCTAACTGCTGGTCCCAAAAACGATATCTTTTTAAAAGAATTACTTCATTTTATTTGTTGTTGTTATGATTATTTTAATTCACCAGAGAATGAGAGAGAGAGAGACAAAATGAGAAAGCAAGCTGTCAGTTCTAGGACTTGAACCATGGTTGGCTATGTGGGAGATCTAGTGCCATAATCACTATGCCACCATTGGCCCAACTATTTATAACTTATTCTTTCATTATCATAAGTATTATTGTATTTCTTCTTCATTCTTCCTCCCCCCCTCCAATATCCAGAGGTTTCCTTTCAATGGGGCACGGGTCATACCATAGTCCCTTTTCTTCAATCCCTCCATCCTGTCAGGATTTTGAGCACACATGCATGCAAACAGTGCTGAGCTATGTGGGTATGTGGGATCCAGTCCCTGAACCACTAGCCACTAGGCTATGGGGCTATCCCAGTACTTTGCTATTTCAAACTCATAAACATAATACCTGCAGAATATTTCATCAAATGTTTATGCTAGACTATTATTACCCTAATTCTACATAGGAATTTAATTCTAAGATAACTTCATACATTAAAATTCTTTTCCTATTAATTTTTTTCCCCTGTGATAAGACTGTGACAGGGACCAACAGATGGTATAATGGTTACATCATTGGACTCCCATGTAGCCAACTGTGGTTCAAGTCCCAGACCTGGAGGCTTAAAATACTCACAGGGCACACGTGTGTGTGTGCGTGCCCAAAATCTCAAGAGGAGAATGAAGAAGGGACTGTGGTGTGGCCATCTCCCTGGGGGAGTGATTTGCTTCCTGCCTCTGTCTCTCTGGTGAGTGCACCTGCCCTAAAGTGAAAATATCTCTCTCTTAAAAAAAAAAAGACCGTGACAGAAATGTAATGATGCCAAAACAAAAGAAGCTCTTCATACTATTTTTTTTCTTTTTTTTTTGAGAGGTTTTACGCTATAGGGCGTGTGCGCTCGCCAAACAGACAGAGAGAGACATAGAGACAGAAAGCGAGAAATCACCCCCCAGGGGGGATGGTCACGCCGCAATCCCTTCTCCTCCATTCTCCTCTCG